CACTCACACACACTCTCTCTCACACACACACACACACACACTCGCATGCACGCACACACTCATACACACACACACACACACACACACACGCACGCGTGTTTACACATTTAAAAGAATCCTAATGTTTGTGAAATAAGTCTCTTCTACGCACCAAGGCTGCATTTATTTGAGCAAAAATACAGTAAAACTGAGATATTATTATAATTCATTTCTATTGAAATAGAAAGCTTTTGTTACATTATAAATGTCTTGATCGGTTCAATGTGTCCTTGATGAATAAAGCTAATAAATTCTTATAAAAAAACAAACTCTTCTTCTTTATATTTAATATTTAGGCTGTGTTGAGCAGTGTTTATCAGCGTTGAGTGTTTTAACTGTGTGTCTGTGTTCAGCCCGTCATCAATAACAACCCCTGGATGCTGCTGTACTTCATCTCCTTCCTGCTGATCGTCAGTTTCTTCGTCTTGAACATGTTTGTTGGTGTGGTGGTGGAGAACTTCCACAAGTGCCGGCAGCATCAGGAGGTGGAGGAGGCGCGGCGGAGGGAGGAGAAGCGGCTGAAGCGCATGGAGAAGAGGAGGCGCAGTAAGACCCTACACTGTAAAAAAAAAATCCGTAAAATTTACGGTAAAAAACGGCAGGTGCGGTTGCCGGAATTTTACCGTAAAAATACGGTAGCAACGTTTTAGGTTTTACGGTTTTAACTTAAATTTACAGTTAAATACCGTAATTTCATTAACTGATATAATGTTAATATACCAACCTATTGAAGTACTGAAATCTGTTTTGCACCTTTGTAATACACTGATAACCACCAAATGCAGTAGGTGATGAGAAAGTCACATGATGAACCAAAGCCCATCACAAGCAGCTTTTAAATAATAACATATATAGAAGGTGCACAGCGTGATTCACACAAACGCTAAACACCATCATGGACATGAAACTGAAATAATGCAATAAACATTCATTTAACAACATTAGGTGTAACACACAACCCTAATATACAAAAGTGATAAGAAAAAACTAAGAAGAAACAGTTATTTCAACAACAAAAAAACATCAAATCTGAAATGTAACGCAGCGAATTCTGGGAATGTTAATTTACGGTTATTCACTGTAAATTATACGGTGTTTTTCCACTTCCAAAAACGGTATACTACCGTAAAATTTATGTCCAATACATGTAATGTCCAATGCAGTTTTTCACCGTATATAGTAGGGGAATTTACCGTTAACCATTTAACAGGTTTTTACTGTAGCATTTTTACAGTCTTTTACCGTTAAATTCACGGTCATTTTTTACAGTGTACATATAATGCACTGGAAAGACCGCGAGTTTGAGCGTCTCATTAGTTTCTCATCTATTCTCCATCGTTTGCTTCTCTTCTTCTTCATTTGTCTTCATCTCTTTCGCTCTCTTCTGTTATTATTCTTCATCTTCCCGTGTCGTCTGCTGCTCTCTCTCGTTTATCTCTCGTGTTCCTCCTCGTTCTTCTTCTCCTGAGATCCTGGGCCACATTCATCAGCACTGACCCCATTGTTTCCTTTTCCATCCTTCCATCATCTCAGGGCAGCCCTCATTTACATCCATCCATCACTCTGTCAGTGAAAGATCAGCGTGTGTTCCTGTCAAAGCATCAGCAGTGCAGGTGATGATGATGATAGTAATAAGCGCTGTGGTTGTGTTCAGAGGCCCAGCGGCTGCCGTATTACTCCTCGTACGGTCGCGTTCGGCGGATGATTCACTCGTTCTGCACCAGTCATTATCTGGACCTCTTCATCACCCTCATCATCTGCATCAATGTGGTCACCATGAGCCTGGAGCACTACAACCAACCACAGGTGAGCAGCACTGTCACATGACCCGCAGCCAATCAGCTGCTTGCACACTCGCTTTGATTGATTGGTCGGGATCCAATGTTATTTTAGTGTCATTGGAGATACTATTATAGATTTTATTCATATTTTGAATTAGTTTTTATCTTTATATATATATATAATTTCACAGCAAGTATCATTAAGAGCAAATTCTACAAGCCTTCATATTTCTGTATTTCATATGTTCTGGGACACATCGCTTTTCTCCCACCTGGGAGAGTCTGTCCTCGCCCTCAATGGCCCATACCAGAGCAGCACTATTTCAATACAGGACAGAAAATTGAGAAGGAGAAAAAACACCCATGGCCTCCTTTTAAAGAACCTTCTGCCCTAGAAACTTTACTCTGCTTTCCAAGCATTCTCAAAAAAGACATTTCAGTCCTAGAGTGCTAAAATATGGCGTGACACTGGTGTAGGTGAAATGAAGAAAATAGACTTAAAGGGACAGTTCACCAAATAAATGAAAATTCTGTCATTTACTTGCCTTCATGTTGTTCTGATTGCCACAATAAATATCATGCCCAACAACCTTCAGCAAGCTATAAGCTATAGTTTTAAACAGTAAGAAGATAGGTAAATAATATCTAGGTATAGGTATTTGATCTATCTATCTATCTATCTATCTATACACAAACATATTTGTTTGTGTGTATAATTACCTAAACAGATATATATATATATATATATATACATACATTTTTTATTTTAGTTAAAGATTTAATAATTTTGTTGTTTTTTATTTATTTATTTTTAAACATGTCCAAATAATTTTTATTTTATTCAATTTTAATTTTATGACATTTTTAATTTCATTATTTTTTATTTTTTTATTTTAATGTTTTTATTTTTATGGGTTTAGTTATTTTAGTATCAGTTTAGAATCAGTTTTTATTTGTATATTTTATGTTTTCATTTCAATTTAGAAATTTTTGTAATTTCATTGTGTTGTTATCATTTTTAATAGTTTTTTTTTAAATGTTTATATAACTAATTTCAGTTTTACATTAATTTAAATTAATGTATTCATGAGAAATGTTGCCTTGGCAACTAGCTGAAATATTTTTTAAAAATGTTTTATTTAAGTTACAACATTAATCCTGCTGGTGTTCGTGTGTTGAGCATCATCTGTAATCAGAGTGAACAGAACATCTGTTAATGAGCGTTGAGTTTCTTCTCTCTGGTTTCTCTCAGTCGTTGGAGACGGCGCTGAAATACTGCAACTACTTCTTCAGCTCCACGTTTGTGGTGGAGACCATGCTGAAGCTCGTCGCGTTCGGCTTCAGACGCTTCTTGAAAGACAGGTGAGCAGCATCTGAAACGACACACAGCCGCGCTTCCAGAGGATCTCCGCTGTGATCAGCTTTCTGTCTCCTCAGATGGAATCAGCTGGATCTGGCCATCGTGCTGCTGTCTGTGATGGGAATCACTCTGGAGGAGATTGAAATAAGCGCTTCGCTCCCGATCAATCCCACCATCATCCGCATCATGAGGGTCCTGCGCATCGCCCGCGGTCAGCACGCTCGTTTATACAGAGATAAAAACGTGAAAAATACATTTTAAAATCACTTATGCAATAAGATGGAAAACCTTAGGAGCTTCTGTCTATTAAATGCAATTTGGACCTAGAACGACAGTAATTGACTGAGGAGGTTAGTAGTGTTTAGTTAGTGTTTCACGTGGATCCATGCACTTTTAATAATTTATAATGTGAGACCACCTGATGGACAGAAAAGGACTACCAATTAAAATATTTTGAAAAAATAACAATATCAGTAATTCTAAAAAATATAATATATTAAAATTTACACTGTAGAAAAAGTTTTTTTCATATTAAATAAAATAAAAATTGTTGGATTATATTTTACAAGAAAATACTATTTAATTCGTGCTTAAAAAAATCCCATTTACTTCACATTTCTTTGTAATTATTTGTTAAATTTATGGTTACACTTTAAGCTTTTATGTATAATGTATTATAAAGGTACATTTTTTTAAATGTATGTTGTAATGCATTGCATCTTTCATAAATAATTGTATCCAAAGCTAAAATGCATTATAATTGCATATTCCTTGTTACACCTGATATTGATATTTTGTTGTGTTTTAATGCATTATATTCAATGCATATATGTAACAATAAATAGATACATTGTAAAATGTATTATAATTGTGGTTACAATTACTCATGAAATCATTCAGTGCATTACAGGGTGTAATTAATGCATTTAAATATTTTTGAATATATCATGTATAAAGGCTTTAAGCAAAGTGTTACTAAATTTACTAGAAATGTCTCTTACACCAATATTTTTTGATTGTAGAAATGAATTAAATGAATAAAAAGTCTGTTTGAAGGGCATAAACTAAATGGCGTTGGTGAGGTAATGCACTGTGATCTGACTGATGTATTCCAGCGCTGGAGTCTGTTTTGGAGCATTTGAGCATTTTAGTCACTATTGAGATGAAACGAGAAATCATTTTGAAAGCACAACACAGAGCAACAGAAGTGTGTGAGCAGTAGTGAAGCCGGAATTCAGATTCTGTGTGATCTTCATTTAGAGAGAATCCGACTGAACTTCTCTGAGGTGTTTCTGTCTCTCCCGTGACATTCAGTGTGTTTTTGTCTCAATTTCACAGTTCTGAAGTTGTTGAAGATGGCCACAGGAATGAGAGCGCTGCTCGATACCGTGGTGCAGGCGTTACCACAGGTACACACTGGAAATATGACTGCAGTTATTCTGACGTTTACTTGATAAAAATCAGCCAAGATTTGAGAGCAGAAAGACTCGTGAAGCTCCAGCTGAAGCGGGACGTTTCTACAATTACACTAAAAGAGCTTTGACTGGATAAAACACTCTAAACTATCAATCAGACGACAGAAGACATGCAGTAAATTGAGTGTGAAACGGGTTTAACAGCAAAGTTTTGATCATGTTTATCACTTAGAGCCTTAGAAATATGCATATCAAAGATGACTGTCTCAGCAGACAGATCTGATTTCAGCATCTACACAATAACATTCAGTTCTAAAGTTGCAGAGAAGCGTCTGGCGTGTGAATGAAGTGTTAGACATGCTCTCAACACGTCATTTCAAGAGTCATTGAGTGTTCAACACGGCTGTGAGCGCCTGACACAAACACATTAAACAGATGGCGTCGATCTACAAACCTCCTTTCACATGATTAACTGCGCCGATGATCACACTTCAGTCCTGTAAATGTGTCAATAGTAACTTAATTCATGCGATTTAGTATCTATATCTATATAAAACCACTGTGTGCGTTTGAGTAAAGTGTATGTGAGGAATAATGCGAATAAGCGTTTGTTTTCTCGAGCTCTCGCCGGGCTCAGATGGGCTTCCGGCACGTCTAATGGAAGTGAATTAACCTTGAATATAAGCAATAAAGCAGCTGTGAGCGCATGACCAGCACAAACCTCATTCTGAGTATTGAAGGCTGCTTTAGTGTTGGAGATGAGCTCGGCACCTCACGACGGATACACAAACACTGCTGATGTGTGCATGTGTGTGTGTGTGTATGTGTATGTGTGTGTGTGTGTGTGTCTGTGTGTGTGTGTGTGTCTTGGTGGGGACTTAAACCTGACTACACACAGACTCATGGGGACTCGTGTCACGGTGGGGACCTAAATTGTGGTCCCCACGGGTACAAAAGCTTATAAATCATACAGAATTAAGTTTATTGAAAATCTGAAATAGCACAAAGTTTCCTGTAAGGGGTAGGTTTAGGGGTAGGGTTGATGTGTGTGTGTGTGTGTGTCTGTGTGTGTGCATGTGTGTGTGTCTGTGTGTGTGTGTGTGTGTGCATGTATGTGTGTGTGTGTGTGTGTGTGTCTGTCTGTCTGTCTGTCTGTCTGTCTGTCTGTCTGTGTGTGTGTGTTTTGTTCAGGTGGGGAATCTGGGTTTGCTCTTTGTTCTGCTGTTCTTCATCTATGCTGCGCTCGGTGTCGAGTTGTTTGGAGAACTGGGTGAGAGAAAACAATCCTTTTCATTCCTAAAGCACCTAATGATCTGTTTGCATATGCATCATTTTAATAAAAAAAAAAGATACTTTTATTTATCAAGGATGCATTAAATGGAAAAAGTGACATTAAATACATTTATAATGTGACAAAAGATTACTATTTCAAATAAAAGCTGTTCTTTTGAACTTTCTATTGATCTGTGAATCCTGAAAAATAAAATGTATCACAGTTTCCACAAAATATTCATCAACACAACTGTTTTCAACATTGATAATAATCAGAAATGTTTCTTGATCAGCAAATCAGCATATTAGAATGATTTCTGAAGATCATGTGACACTGAAGACTGGAGTAATGATGCTGAAAATACAGCTGCGCATCACAGAAATAAATTACAGTTTAACAGATATTCACATAGAAAACTGCTATATTAAATTGCAATAAAATGTATTTGTTTTTAAACAAATAATTGCAGCCTTGGTGAGCATTATGAATACATATGAAGCAACTAAAATAAAATGTGATTACTTCATGAGATTCTTGAATATTTTTAAATCTTGCTGTTATTTCTGTCACATTTCATGTCTCTCTGTGTGTCTGTGTTTCAGTGTGTAATGTTGAATACCCGTGTGAAGGCATGAGTCGTCACGCCACGTTTGAAAACTTCGGCATGGCGTTCCTCACTCTCTTCCAGGTGTCTACAGGAGATAACTGGAACGGCATCATGAAGGTAGAGCTCATGCTGCTGTCATTGAGCCTTTACATGAACACAAACCCCAAACTACAGACAGTAAATCAGCTGCATTCAGTCACTGTAAACGGAGTGCAGTTTTTCTTCTTCCTCCAACAATAGTTCTTTATTTGCTTTTCACTAATAGGTGAGTAATTGATGTTGTGCTGCTTGATAAACAGTTGTAAAGATTGCATTGATTAATAATTTTGCTGCATTATGCTGAATTAAGACAAGACATCACAGGTGAATAGTGTAAAAATTTAACTTAATAGATATCATAATCAGTGGCAGCTCCTCAGGGGAGGCACAGCCTTCTCAAAAGTTCAGAATGTGTATTCCTTGTAATTTCACCGTTGCAAACCATAACATATTACTGAAGTTGGAATCCCATGTGTTTTACTGCTGCTCTTCCACATGGATGTCTGGAGAAAGACAGGAGTGAAGCACAATCCATAGCTGGAGACTTTGGCCTCCATTGATTAAAAATGAACCAATCACCATTGAGTATTTGACTTAGTCAGCAGAGCGGCTCTATTTCTAATTGGTTTAAATATAGAAATAATGGATAAAAATCCAAGAAGGAGGCTAACTTCCCTTGGTTTATCAACCAGTCACCATGAAGAGATATTGAATATTTAATCACCAACACATTTTCAAAGCTCCCTTTTGAGCAGCAGCTAAAAATAAAAAATGAAGGAAGGCCCATGCCTAAGCAGGACATAAAACCATCTTCATTAGACGGCCGAATGTGCTGTTTTATAGTGGCTGACCTTAATTGATGACGAATAAGCCTTAATTGATGAACTGAAGAAGACAGGTGTGTTCTACGAGTCATAGACACCTTTGCTGCTTTAAAGGACAGGAGGATGCATTTGTCTTGTAGTAAACATGTCATTTTCGTACATAAACGTGACCAAAAGAAGGCTTTTATTGAGCAGTTGAAAAAAAAAACACGTCAGAGTAGGGATCGCTGCAGTTTAGTGTGCCTCCTCTATTTTAATATCTATGAGCCACCACTGATCGTAATACTTTACATTTGAGATTTCTCTTTTTATCGCTCCATAAATCAGAAAATACTGTCAACAGACAGAAAACAAATACATTTTCACCTTGTTTTTAGGAATACAATGTTAAATATATATCAGGTGAATGATGCATGAACAAACCAGGTAAAACCTTTCAAAATATGGATAGGAATCATAATAAAGTTTAATAGATAGGAATAAAACTTCAAAGTTCAAAGGAATAAAAATAAAGTTTGGTTCGATTAACTGCTGCTGAAGTGGAGAAAAAACTCACAGCCTTCCAGTATGGATAAAAAACCCCTGAAATCTACTGATGAAAATAAATACAGTGTAGTAAAACAAACACTTAAAGGTTAGTTTACCCAAAAATGAAAATTAGCCCATGAATTACTCACCCTCAAGGCAATCCTAGGTGTATATGACTTTCTTCTTTCAGACGAATCCAGTCGGAGTTATATTAAAAATGGTCTTTGATCTTTCAAGCTGTTTAATGGCAGTCAGCGGAGGTTGCAGTGCATCAGTCCAAAAGAAGTGAAATAAAGCACATGCGTCCATAATAAAAAGTGTCTCACATGGCTCCGGGGGGTGAACAAAGGCCTCCTGTAGCGAATCGATGCATTTTTGTAAGAAAAATATCCATATTCAAAATGTAATAATCACTTTAATCTAGCTTGCGCCAACAGTTGTACTTGGAAGCAGCTCCGGGAGGATGCCGTAAGATCTGGAAAAACTGTAGTGTCTCGCCTGAAGCAAAGACTGACAATATGTGAAACAGCGCCAGATGGGACACTATGCAGTGCGACCAACAGCTGTGATGCTTGAGAGATATTGAGCTGATTTCGTGGTTTCCCTTTTAGTCGTTTTGCACTGGTGAGGATGAAATGATCAGAACTGGACAATCGTTAGTTATTAGTGTGTCTTTGCTCACAGGACACGCTGCGCGAGTGTCCGCCGGGCGACAGCTACTCGTGTAACTCCAGCCTGCAGATCATCTCGCCCATGTACTTCGTCAGCTTCGTTCTGACGGCTCAGTTCGTCCTGATTAACGTGGTGGTGGCCGTGCTGATGAAGCACCTGGACGACTCCAATAAAGAGGCGCAAGAGGACGCGGAGATGGACGCGGAGATCGAGATGGAGCTGGCGCAGGGTGGCCTGTGCTGTCTGGGGCATCCGGAGCGCTCGACCGGGGCCGATGCGGGCGAGAGGCCATCGATTCACACCAACACTAACACCAGCCAGAGCGGATTCACACAGAACCAGAGGAGACTCTACTCATCGGCACAGGTGCGTGTCGATCCTGAATAGGGCTGTGAATCGTCACTGGTTTCACGATTCGATTAGATTACGATTATCATGTCAACTATTTGATATCACGATGCATCATGATTGTATCACAATTATTTTGTGCATTTTTATTAAATTATATAAGCAGGCTACTTTTTAAAATAATTACAAATTAATAATTAATCAGAAAAATTGTTAAGAATTTAACCAACTAAATATAGCTTCAAAACATACAAGCAAATATAAAGTAATAAAGGGTGAAAAAGACAATTGCAAGTACTTTCAGTATCTGAGGGTGTGTTCACACTTGTCATGTTTGGTTCAATTAAAACGAACCCTGGTGCGATTGCTCTGTTAGTGCGGTTCGTTTGAGTAAGTGTGAACGCTGACATCCGAACCCTGGTGCGCACCAAACAAGCGGACCGAGATGGGTCTCGATCCGCTTCCAAACGAACTCTGTTGCAGTTCGAATGAAATATGAACACAACACGGACCAAATACTTCTAAACGAACCAAAAACAGGAAGTAATGACAAGATGCGACGCTATGCGACATGATTTGACGATGCGGTGTAACCAAAACAAAATGAGCAGAGGGCAAACGTGGAGCAACGATGAGGTAAAGTGCCTTTTATGAGCTCCTTGAGAGTTTGCAGGTGGTGAAAATAAAAATATATGTACACGCAAGAATGAGCGCGCTTAGTCCAGCAGACTGCATTAGGTGTGTTCGACTTAAAGTGGCGCTGAGCTGACCAATCGGTTAATAGATGCTTTGATATCATACACTTTAAGTGTTTAAGTCTATAAGTCTAACGCATCTTTTGTTTGGGGTGTTATATACGTCATTCAAGCCGACCAATCAGGTTGTGAACGTATCACTATGCCTTTAGGTTCGGTGTCTTTAGGTTCGCTGTCAAAAATGCCAATGTGAACGCTAAGCGGACCAGGACCAAATGTATCATTTTCCTTTTTGGTCCGGACCAAATGAACCAAACGAACCGAACTACAAGTGTGAACACACCCTGAGAGTGCTTTAAGTATCCGAAAGTTTACAGACAATCCTAGTTATGGGTTGTTTTTTTTTCCTCAGCATTATTGCTGTTTGATTATTGATGAGAACATAGACAGTGGCAGCTTTAATAAGCTGCATTCACACTAATGCACAGATCCATCTCGACATATCAGATGTTTTGTCCTGTTCTGAAAACATAGCTAACTGTGTTTACATCAATTTCGTATCATAAAAGTATTCAGAGATGCAAGTGCGTTTAACCGCAGCCGCGATCGCGCTTCAGGGCAACGAACACAAAGCGCAGGTGAAAGTCTGTCCATATGTGAGTTTTGTGCATCTAATATACATACTGCATTCCAAACGGCAGAAATGAAAGCATATCTCAAGTAAAACATTGCAATAACGGTGGGTGGAAGCACAAGTCAAGCAAGACACGTGTATCATTTGTGGTGTGAACGGACTCTAAAACCTGAACTCATCTCAAACTTTAAGACTGATTCACTGCAGCAGATGAACTTCTACTTCATATCTGATGCAGTGACGGGGCTTCATTTGTCAAGTGTGATTTATGCACTGTACTTGTGTGTTTGAGTGTGCGTAGATTGGTGTCATTAGAGCAGGTGTATTCGTGCACAGAGATGATAATATTCCCCTATAATCTGACTGTAAATGTTTTGTTTTTGAAGCGGCACAGCGGTCATGAATCTCTCATGAGTCATTACAAACGCTGACATCCGAACCCTGGTGCGCACCAAACAAGCGGACCGAGATGGGTCTCGATCCGCTTCCAAACGAACTCTGTTGCAGTTCGAATGAAATATGAACACAACACGGACCAAATACTTCTAAACGAACCAAAAACAGGAAGTAATGACAAGATGCGACGCTATGCGACATGATTTGACGATGCGGTGTAACCAAAACAAAATGAGCAGAGGGCAAACGTGGAGCAACGATGAGGTAAAGTGCCTTTTATGAGCTCCTTGAGAGTTTGCAGGTGGTGAAAATAAAAATATATGTACACGCAAGAATGAGCGCGCTTAGTCCAGCAGACTGCATTAGGTGTGTTCGACTTAAAGTGGCGCTGAGCTGACCAATCGGTTAATAGATGCTTTGATATCATACACTTTAAGTGTTTAAGTCTATAAGTCTAACGCATCTTTTGTTTGGGGTGTTATATACGTCATTCAAGCCGACCAATCAGGTTGTGAACGTATCACTATGCCTTTAGGTTCGGTGTCTTTAGGTTCGCTGTCAAAAATGCCAATGTGAACACTAAGCGGACCAGGACCAAATGTATCATTTTCCTTTTTGGTCCGGACCAAATGAACCAAACGAACCGAACTACAAGTGTGAACACACCCTGAGAGTGCTTTAAGTATCCGAAAGTTTACAGACAATCCTAGTTATGGGTTGTTTTTTTTTCCTCAGCATTATTGCTGTTTGATTATTGATGAGAACATAGACAGTGGCAGCTTTAATAAGCTGCATTCACACTAATGCACAGATCCATCTCGACATATCAGATGTTTTGTCCTGTTCTGAAAACATAGCTAACTGTGTTTACATCAATTTCGTATCATAAAAGTATTCAGAGATGCAAGTGCGTTTAACCGCAGCCGCGATCGCGCTTCAGGGCAACGAACACAAAGCGCAGGTGAAAGTCTGTCCATATGTGAGTTTTGTGCATCTAATATACATACTGCATTCCAAACGGCAGAAATGAAAGCATATCTCAAGTAAAACATTGCAATAACGGTGGGTGGAAGCACAAGTCAAGCAAGACACGTGTATCATTTGTGGTGTGAACGGACTCTAAAACCTGAACTCATCTCAAACTTTAAGACTGATTCACTGCAGCAGATGAACTTCTACTTCATATCTGATGCAGTGACGGGGCTTCATTTGTCAAGTGTGATTTATGCACTGTACTTGTGTGTTTGAGTGTGCGTAGATTGGTGTCATTAGAGCAGGTGTATTCGTGCACAGAGATGATAATATTCCCCTATAATCTGACTGTAAATGTTTTGTTTTTGAAGCGGCACAGCGGTCATGAATCTCTCATGAGTCATTACACTGAGTGATTGTAAATTTCCTCCCTGACATCTGATGGCCCGCAGTGATCGTGTACGCGAGTGTGTCTGTGTCTGTGTGTGTGTGTGTGTGTGTGTGTGTGAGTGTGCGTGTGTCTGTGTGTGTGTGTTAATGGAGACACATTGTGAGTCATCAGAGGAAATGAAGTCACAGCTGAAACACAAAACAATCTGTCCACATGTGATGAGCAGTGAATCACACACTGATGTCTCGTTCACACTGACAGTGATTTATTGCTGCTCGCGGTGAGCGTTCACACTGCTGGACTTTAGACAGTATTAGTGCTGTCAAACGATTAATCGTGATTAATCGCATCCGAAATAAAAAAAATTGTTTACTTAATATATGTGTGTGTACTGTGTCTATATATTATGCATATATAAATACACATACATGCATGTATATATTTAAGAAAAATATGTTAGGTTTATATATTTAGAAATATACATTATATAAATATAAATATATACATGTAAATATATGCAAATATTTTCAATATATATATTGTATGTGTGTGTATTTGTATATACATAATAAATATACACAGTACTACACACATATATTATGTAAACAAAAACTTTTTGTTTATTGTTTAAATTTTGTTTATTTGTTTAAACAAAAACTTATTTTGGATGCGATTAATCGTGAATAATCACGATTAATCGTTTGACAGCACTAGACAGTCTGATCATGAACAACATCCAGCGTGGATGAAAATAAGATGTCGCTCCAGTTTAACAAAGACTCTGTTTTCTTGCTGCTAAAAATTCTCAAGAATTCACAGAAACAAATACACATGGATTTATGATTCCTTCACTCCTATTGATAGCTGCTGTTTCATTTACACAAAAACTCTTGATGACATCACTGACCACCGCTGTCACTCATCTGTGTGTGTTTTTGTCTTGTTTTCCAGTACAGATATCCAGACATCTCTAAAAATAGTGCAAGGAAAAAATGCATAAGAAAAAAAAAGACTTTTTACTATCCAGTGTGTACAGTGATCTAATACACATCCCTCAGAAGTTGTGTGTGTGTGTGTGTGTGTGTGTGTGTGTATGTGTATGTGTATGTTTGTGTGTGACAGGAGAACCAGTGGCTGGAGAGCGTCTCTCTGCTGATGAAGGACTCGCTGGATGGAGAAATGCAGATGATTGATAATCTATCAGGATCGGTGTTCCACCATTACTGCTCTCCAGCAATCAGACGAGTCGGCAGGAGCCAATCAGGAGAGGTGAGGATGCCTAACACTTCCTAAAAACTTAGAACGACTCCCTGAAGCAACAATTCCTGAACAGTTTTTATCAGCCGAACCCCTTAGACGTTAAATATTTTCCTGAAGCCCCCCTGAGATTTTAAGTTAAAATTTCCAATAATATAATAACACATTTGCATGTTTACAGTTCTCTTCTGTCAAAAAAAAAAAAAAAATTAAATTAAGTGTAAATAAAATTATTAGTATTATATTTTATTTAAAATTATAAAAAAATAAAGACAAATATATTGCTGTTGTAAAGTACAGTAAAATATACAGTAAAGTACATAAATAAGTACATAAACACATTTGCATGTTCACAAATCTCTGATGTTAATATTATGATAATAATAATAATAATTATTATTATTATTATTAGGGCAACACGTTATTTTAAGGTGTCCTTGTTACACGTTACATGTACTTACTATTATAATAACAAATTATGCATAATTACATGCAAGTTACACTAAGCCAAACCCTAACCATAGAGTAAGTAGTTAATATTACTCCGTACTTAAATGTATAATTACAGTAGTAGTAGTTTGTTTTAATGCTAATTATAAAAATAAATACAGAAATGTATTACAGTTGTACAGTACAATTGTACTATAAAATAAAAAAGAATATTTGATAATTATGAATTGCATTAGACTCTAAAGTTATTTAATTAAATTGCAGGCTTCATCACAATTATCATGCAGACCTAATTATTTATTTTAATTTTACATCTTATATAATTGTTTATTAGCTCATATCAACTGACAAACCCCCTGCAGTTCCCCTCATTTGGGAACACCTGCACTAATTAAATCATTCAGGAGTCGGAATCATTCAGTGGAATCAGAATCAGAATCATTTTGTTCATAATAATATAATCCGTCATGAAGCCCGACAGACAAATGATCATCAATGATCTCGTTTGCAGAGGATTGCATGAAACATCATCATGGCTGAATGTATTACATGCAGGACTAATTCTAAATGAAATGAACATAGAAACAGCGTCTTAATCATGAGGATATGTTATCATTTATGTTCAAGATTTATGCAAGAATAATGATGTGTGTGTGTGTGTGTGTGTGTGAGAGAGTGTGTGTGTGTGAGAGAGTGTGTGTGTTGTGTGTGTGTGTGTGTGTGTTCGCAGCAGGTCATGTGAGTGAGTGCTCAGATCTCTGCATGCTCCAGTGGTTGACAGCTTCCTGTGGTGATGGTGTGTGTTTGTAGATCCGGCTGGCTGAGGTCGAGCAAACGTCTCTGATGTCGGAGCAGCTGTCAGATAAATCCTCCTCACCGGCGCTACCTGATGACATCAGCCTGGACGAGCACAGCGACCGTAAGGTGTGTGTGTGTGTATCATCATGCTGATTAATCATTATTGACATGCTTAATTAACTGATAAGTGCATGGGTCTCTCGGGTGGATGTGTAAAGCTCCTTCGGGTTTGTCTCAGCAGGATCTTCTCGCTCTGTGTCTCTGATGCTTCTGCTGTCAGACTCGTGTAGAGAAGCTGGAGAACATGCTTGACTTGCACTGAACACTTTAAAGAAATAATTAACTTTAGGAAAATCATCTGTCATCTCACCGTAGGCGTAGCTTGATGTTTGAACGTTTTGGGGCCAAACCAAGAAAAATCGATTTGGTCAATCGGACTTTTAAACACATTTTAGCTTTTCTGTAGTAAACCTGCAAATTTACACTCTTGTAATATCTATTTTAAATGCTTTGGAAAATAATACACTATAAACATGTTTGTCAACACAATCTCAAAGGCTTTTATTAAGCAAATCAAGGAGTGAATTAGTCGCCCACTGCTTTAAAACAGACGTCTGCTGGGCATTAATCAAGTTAAATGCGCAATAGCAGGCACACAAACACTTGTATTGATTAAATCTTACTGAAAACAGATGATTAAGCAGTTTATATTGTATATAATATAATACAATATATTTTCTTTTTATATATTGTTTATTACTATGTAAGAATAAAAGCCTCTTAAATGTATTATGTGTGCTGGAGAAATGGGGGGGGGGTTAATTTATTTAACTTTTTTCCTTTTTTGGTGAATGTACACTTCCATTCAAAAGTCTGATATCAGTAAGATTTTTAATGTTTATTATTGAAGTCTCTTATGCTCATCAAGGCTTTATTTATTTGATAAAAAATACAGAAAAACTGTTGAAACTGTTGTGCTAATTAATATATATATTTTTTTTTTCTGGATTCTTTGATGAACAAAAAGATAAAAAGTTCATTTATTCAAAATAATCTTTTCTAGCAATATAAGTCTTTACTATTACTTTTTATCCAATTAACACAAACCTTTGCTGAATAGAAGCATTATTTTGTTTTTAAAAAAGAAAGAAAAAAAT